CTTTCCAAGTTCTCGAACAAAGAGCAGAGGCCTGTTTTGTAGGGGCTCGGGGCTCCAGCAGGAAAGCGCAGACCTTTCGAGCGCCGGGCCTTCGAATGGGTTTAGAGTTTAGGGTTTAGGGCCTAGGGCCCTTGGGCTCCATCAACGTCGGCCTTTTTGAGTATGCTCAGGCCTTCCTTCGCCAATTGTGGTGGTGCAGTTAAGGGTGCTTAAGTGCGACATTGTGAGGCCCATGACCCTTTCATGCGGCCCAGAGAAGACCTCAGAGCTTCCCTGCCGCAAGCTTCAGCTGTCGTTCGCAGCGAGCCGTCGCATCAGTCCACGATTCAGTCTGCCAGAGCCCATGAGTCCACTGGGTCCACTCTATGCCGCCATGATGCTCCTCAGCGACGGCTCCCACTACGGCATTGCACGCGATGCGTGCGCTTCCGACGCTGTGCTGACGACGCAGAGAGGGACGTAGGGTGTTGCAGAGACTTGAGCCACGAAGGGCAGGAGCTTCCTGATGCCGGCACCTGCTTTGCGGACCCTCGCGTTGCCGAGATACTAGGACCAGAGTAGGCCCTCATTTGCTCTTGGGTCGAGGATACTGCCTTGCGAAGTTGACGATGTCAATGACACTCCTGCCCGGCGGGTGCTGTCAATGAGCGGGTACTCACTTAGACTGCCCGCCAGATAGGAGTTACGGGTTTGCCAGGCCCCCATCTTGGGTCAAGTGCGTCACTGCTTCGACCCACTCAGACATGTGTGGCCGAATTTGTGGGGACAGGTGCACGTTCGAACCGAGCACACTCGCTTGATCCAGCTTCTTAAGCGAAACTAGAGCTAACTCTGCATCTTGCTTACCCAACATGTGTGCCATGATGGAGCCTTGTCAGAACATCTTGAGAATCATCATCAAGACGTGCGAGGCGTGTACTTTCGGGCAGCAGATCGAGCGCAACGTGCGCCCCGAAGGTGGTACACGTGTGCAGTGGGCTAGATCGGTTAGAAGCACTGGCAAGGGATCCAGGTGATGGTTGCTCTGTTGAGCGTTGTGAATCCGTATTGATTGTGCATCCAAAAAACGCTTTTGCCAAGTCACTCAGGTCACGGCCCAAAACGTACCGACTTGAGGCTGCTTCGCCTGCTTAATTCCAGCCAACAATGAGAGTATTTCCCTCAATATCGAACCTTCTCTATGAGCAAGCGCCGAAACTTCCAGCCATTCAACTTAGGGGTTGGACACGAACGCTGCACGCCTCATATGGCTCCGCCACAATGGGCCCAAGGAGCAGCTATAGTGACTGAGGGCGGCGCAAGACTATAGGATTAGAGCGACATGCCAAGCTGCGTCCGGAGGCCAGGCAGGTGTGTGAGAGTCTGTGGGAGGAAGCTTCACGGGCAAGGTCCCCAGTGGCTGGCCAGCTAGGCAGCGACGTCACTGCGGCGTCTCAAAGCAGCTCTGGCCCGGAAGCCGCACGCGAGGACACAAAGCTCCTGGAGCAGCGTGGCATGGACAGCGTCTGGCTCCTCACCCATTCGCCAATCCCCCGCTGGACATCGGCCGCGCCTTTTTGCCACGTCCCAGTCGGAACACCTGAAAAGCGACACCCCTAAGTTAATGAAACGTTGTGGTGGGCCATAGCCTTGAATTTTCCCAGAGCGACACCTTCAGACATCAAGCGTGGGCAGCTGATTCTCAAACCATGTAAAGCGATGGGAACACTGTCCACCAGCACCGCCAGCCGATATCAGTGCACAAGCTCTTGCAATCCAGCACTTCTGACTTGTGCTCCTGTGAAGCAATTCCTCAAACCATTGCCTCTGCACTTATCAGTGACTTAGCAGACATGGAGGCGTCTGATTGATCCATGAAAGGAGTAGGAGAGGGGGTTTGATGTATGACTGGGCCGCATTAGCTGCTGTCCGAGGTGTGCGAGCGCGCGATAGCTTCTGCGAGAGTGCTTTGGTCGCGAGAGTGCACGATAGCTCGCGATAGGGCTGGAACCCTTCCGCAAGAGTGCACGTCAGTGCAACCCCTGTAAAACACTTGCATCAGCTCGCGAAGAGGCCTTTAAAGGCCGTGCGAGAGCTCGTGAGAGAACCTTTCAAAAACAAATAGCAACTTCAAAAGGTTTTTTGGCCACAGCTCATATGTGCTTGCGACGGCCCTGAGTGAGTCCTCTCTGCACCACCGTGCTGTTTCTCAGCAAGTGCTCCCAGTCCACTGTGCACAATTAGTCGATGCCACGATAGCCTCTTTCTGGAGTGTAGCCAGCCGAACCAGGAATTAGACATCCTGCCGCCGCAGGCGCCTTCAGCAAGTGCATTTGTGTGCAGTTGCCAGATGTTTCTCGCGCAGCGGCGTATGACCACGCACGAGCACAAGTTGCTAAGTTGCATGTAGGCTGCCCGGGTGCGTAACTCGAAGCGTTGTTGAGGGGCGAATGGTGGAGCTGGGATACTGCTTCGAGTGGATAGCCTTGGAGCAAGAATAGTCCGAGGAAGAGACGTGCATCCTAATGTGATACACATGCTTGTAGACAACGGTTTGCCATACTTGCGATGGGATGGCTTCGTTGGCGTCAGGAAAGAACTTTCTGCACTTTGCAAACGACAGAAGAGGGCCATGGGAAGCAAGGTCACTAAGGATGTTTAAAGGAGTCTTGCAACATATAACTTTGGATGAGTTGTTGGCCTTTGAGGCACACGCCTCGGCAAATCGACCAACGTCTCGCTTCTCAGGCTCGTTCCTCGGCTCGGAAACCCTCGTGTTGGCCGTGCTTGTGTACGCCATTTTAAGCCCAAGATCTTTGAGCTCAACCCCTTGCTGCTCTCCTTGGAAGAGGAGCCCACAAGTATCTCAACCCTTGTTCCACGCCTTCGGCTCAGAGCTCTGGATATCAGTCGCGAAAAGCTGCGGCGCAGGCTCGTTGAGGGATGCGCCCGTCGAGAATGGATCAGGGTCTTGCTTGTCAGGCCAATCTCCACACGGAGACGCCCTGTTCCTGACTGGATGCTGTCTATAGCATGCTTCTTGAGCTCAATCATTGGCCATTCCTTGTCCCAATATCCTTGAAGGATAAGTCCGCAAGGATCTGAACCTGTCTGCTTGTCCGGGTACGGCTACGTGTGGCTCAGAGCTCCTCGTGGGGCTGGTCCGTTTGCCTCCGTCACAACCAAGGCTGACATGGACCTCACTTAGAGATGAGGGGCCCGAAGCCAGCAACCTCCATTTCAGCCTCTCCCGGACGTGTACCGACACTGCTTTGGTGCGCGAAGGCAGCTTGTGTGGGCCTCCATTCGCCCAGCTCGCCCATACAGCGCGCGCCTTGATGCTGCCTGCGCGGCTCCCTTCCGGCATTCCAATTGCTTCACAGCATCAGTCCTCGTGCTCGGGAGCGCAGGCGCTTCCAACGCAGCGCAGGTTTGCTTATCATAACTGACATTAACTGACATATCAGCGGGCAGGGCGACCACCTTTGGGACTGGGATCGCAATGACCGCCATGCATCGCTAGCGTCCGCAGCCTGAAGCCGAAACGTCTCGCCGCTCCGCGCCACGCGACGTGCACTCCTGGGCTTTGCGGTCGTTTGCGGCATTTGCGGCGCTTGAGGCCTTGAGGTTCATGCCAGTCTCAGACCCATCTCAGACTCCTGCGACCTGTCGATCAAGAAACCGAGCATGGCATGGCAACCTGGCAACCTTGATCCGGGCCGCGTCGTGTTCGGCTAAGTAGTTTTGAAGCTTTTTTAGTGAAGTGACTGGGGCGCCTCTGAATGGGATACGTGCTCTGGTTCGACATGTTCGACGTGGCCAACGACGTGCATGATTCGCCACGCCAGCCCCAAGCCCAGGCCGGCCGCGCTGGCTTTCCGGGCGGAGCACACGCACTTGCTTCCGGGTGCCTTTCATGCACATCTCTGAGCTCCTTCCTGGAGCGGAGAAGTGCGAGCTGCGAACGCCCTTTGGCGCGGCATTGTGCATGTCATTCCCGTTGCAGGCGCTGGCAGCCTTAGGCGCCTCGGGGCCAGCAGCTTTCCTGCCAAGGCTCGCTTCCAAGCTGTCTTGAGGCGGCCTCTTCTTCAGCTCTCGCGCTAAAGTCTCTAGCGGTATAGTTCAAGTCACGCAAACTCGCCTCCTCCGACATGATTTCGCCGGCACTTGCAGCAAAGTGGCTCGAGAAGGCACCGAGTCGGGCCGAGCCTGCTCCTTGGGCCACTGGGGCGCCGAATGCCCCTGGCAACCCCGTCAAAAGCGGCTCTTGAGTCTGGCGCAACGGCGGCGTCTGCTGCCCCCGCGAGCCACTAGGGAAACACGGCTTCCCTAAAGCCTAAGCCTTTTGAGAGTCTTCTCTGCTGATGAAGGGGCCAGAGATCTTGCGTGCGGCTGAGAAGCGTTCGCGGTTAGCACTTGCATCTGCTTGTAGTCTCCAGGTGTCTGGGCTGTGCCAGAACCATGTGGGGTGCGCAAGACCGAAGGTTCCACAATCCCCAAAAAGCTGAGGATCACCTGGCGAGGCCGGAGGATCCTTCTGCTTTGCCGGCGCAGGCCACGCGTGTCTAGGCTGGTTCAGGCACCTCAAAGGCAGCTCTTTGTGGCCTGTTCTTGTCCGGTTCGGAGACGTTTCTTTGGTGCGGCCGATGTCCTGAGTTCTCGGAGCTCTTGGCCCAGTCGACGGCACCCCTTCGCCCAGACTTGTGCTGCATTGTCCTTGGGAAACAATCTGCAGGTCAGAGTGAGGAGTGTCAGACACGATCCATGAGAGGGTTGTTCTTTTTGGCAGGCTCTTGTGACATGATGATAATGAGGGCGATTCGCGAAATCTCGGTCTTCAGTCACGCACACACCCTTCGAGCATGCACAAGCTTGCACAAGAGCGAGCCCCGCAAGCTTTGCGCCAGCTTGTTGTTCGGGATGCTTCAACAAAACTGAAAGCCCAAATGTTAAGAAAACCTCGCGCGCGCAAGAGCAGGCAAGGCTCACACAAGGGCGAAGCGCAAGGGGTCCTAATTGGCATGCGTGGAACAAGGAACAACCCTCATAAGACTCGAATTGGAGATGGGAACGTAACTTCTGCTGAGACGGTCATTTTGAAAGATGAAGAACCAGAGACAACAGGATCTGAGGAGCTGGCGCGCTACTTTAGATTGAGCAAGCGCTTCGCAGCATTGTCAAAGAGAACAACTTTGGTAGCTTTGGCTCCCGGCACAGGCAAATCTACCTTGACTGTGCTGCTGAACGAGGCACTCGCAAGAAAAGTGGACCCGATGCAGTTTATCGAGCTCAGTATCGCAAGATTGCCCAAGTCATTGCACTACACTGCCGAGACATTGAGAGAGGTTCTGGGATTTGGGCCTCCGGCATTTCAGTACTTCGCAGATGCCGATGCAGTCTTTGAGTTGCCCGACCCGCAGTGGAAACCCCGTGTAGACAAGCTGCGGCAAATCGTTGACACGGTAGGGCAGATGCCTCCGGGAGCATACGAGGAGATAGTCTTGGACTTCTGGGAGCAGGTCCAGCCCGCCGAGCTTCCGCAGATCCTGCTTATGAACGACTACGGGTGTGAGAAGGCTCCATGGTTCACGCTTAGGGCCAAACTGCCGCTCAAAGAAATGGAAAGTCGATGGAGAGGCCGACTTGCGCCAGACATGTCTAAGGATCAAGCAGAAAATGCGGTTCGCCGCTGGCGTAGGGGGTGGTGCAACCTGTTCGGGAAGGTTCTCGGTTTTTCGGAGATCGTAGAGGCCCTAGTTAGTTTGCTTGCGACGACCGACTGCCTCAAAGGACCACAAACTTACTGAGCGCGCAGCATGAGCCAGTTACAAGTAACGGTGCCATTGCGTTGCTTGCCGTGCAGATGATCTTATTTCTGCACGTGCCCTGGCGGCGCATGGATGTGCCTTGGTCCTCTTGCCAGCATAGCAATGCGATGACGACTTCTGGCAGCGCCCATGCAACGGACAGTGAAAGGTTGCCCTCACAAAGGCTGGTTCCGCAAAGCAAGCATCCCCATTGCAATAATCTTGCGGGCTTGGAAGTTTTGCCCCCTTAAAGACTAGCGCATGTTCCTTTCGTGTCTGCCTCCCTCATATGAGCCCCCGCCGTCGCCGCTTGGGTCAGTCAAGCTCCCCGTGGCTCCAGCTTGGGTCAGCCAAGCTGCAGTCAAGCTGCCTGTGAACATGTATATTTCCTCCAGTCGTGGTGCTGTGACATACAGACATCAGCGGCACGCCGCGGAGGACCAAGGGCAGGTTTAGCAGCGGTCAGCGTTTTCTTCTGGCTGTTTCATGTTGGGTGATTGAGCAGAGGCGACCGTCCGCTCGAGCTTTCAGCCAGCACGGTCTCAGCACATCCGTAGCATCACGCAGCTCTCGCTGCGCAGCACGCACAGCTTGACTGCTTGTCCTCTCGCGCGATCCTTCCGACACGAAGTCAAGTGGGGAGCTCAAATTCCGCTGCAGATGAAGAAGCACCAGCTTTTGAGGAGCTGGCTTAACCAATGGCTTAACCATACACTTTTGATCCTGAGACATGCAGCATGGTCGAAGGAAGCAACTTTGGTAGCTTTATCGGAAGATTGCCCTGCTCGTTGCGCTACACTGCCGAGACATTGAGAGTGTTTCCTGGGTTTGGACACTTCGCAGGTGCCGATGCAGTTTTGAGTCGCCCGACCAGCACAGATGCCTCCGAGAGCAGGTAAAGCCTCAGATCCTCCTTGTCAATTACTACGGGTGTCAGGAGGATCCACGGCAGCACGTGGCAGAGGACCAAGAACGGGTCTAGGGGTCTAGCAACAATCAGCATTTTCTTCCGGCTGAGTTCCAAGTGAGTTGGCCCAAAGTTAGCGGGGCGGGCCATCACATGCGGCCAACATGCTACGCTTTTTCTGAGTCGCTAGCCAACTGCTCTGTTCCAAGGGTTTTGTTCTGAGCACTTTGTAAAGTTGCGCTGCGCACCCCTTGGGGACAATGTGGCTGCAGGTCGATGGCGTCCCTCCGCGCAAGAGCTGTGCTTAAAGGTCCTTGGGAAAAGTGTTGCTGCAAACGGGTCAGAGGTGCTAAGGCCACGTCGACACGATCCATGATCCACTGCAAGTTGGCTGTTGCGAGGATCATCTTGAAACAGGAAGACTTAGAGACAACAGGATCTGAGGAGCTGGCGCGCTACTTTAGATTGAGCAAGCGCTTCGCAGCATTGTCAAAGAGAACAACTTTGGTAGCTTTGGCTCCCGGCACAGGCAAATCTACCTTGACTGTGCTGCTGAACGAGGCACTCGCAAGAAAAGTGGACCCGATGCAGTTTATCGAGCTCAGTATCGCAAGATTGCCCAAGTCATTGCACTACACTGCCGAGACATTGAGAGAGGTTCTGGGATTTGGGCCTCCGGCATTTCAGTACTTCGCAGATGCCGATGCAGTCTTTGAGTTGCCCGACCCGCAGTGGAAACCCCGTGTAGACAAGCTGCAGCAAATCGTTGACACGGTAGGGCAGATGCCTCCGGGAGCATACGAGGAGATAGTCTTGGACTTCTGGGAGCAGGTCCAGCCCGCCGAGCTTCCGCAGATCCTGCTTATGAACGACTACGGGTGTGAGAAGGCTCCATGGTTCACGCTTAGGGCCAAACTGCCGCTCAAAGAAATGGAAAGTCGATGGAGAGGCCGACTTGCGCCAGACATGTCTAAGGATCAGGCAGAAAATGCGGTTCGCCGCTGGCGTAGGGGGTGGTGCAACCTGTTCGGGAAAGTTCTCGACTTTTCGGAGATCGTAGAGGCTCTAGTTTGCTTGCAACGACGGATTGCCTCAAAGGATTGACAACTGCCACAAGCCTACTGAGCTCGCAGCGTGCGCCAGTTTCCAGTAAAGGTGCCATTGCGTTGAGTACCATGCCCATGAGCAAAACCACCGTGAGCACCCTTGTTTCTGCACGTGTTTTGGCGGCGCCAGGATATGGCTTGGTCCTCCTCCCTGCATAGCAGTTTTGATGTGACGACTTCTGATCACATCGCACTTCTGCCTTGACAAGGGAGAGGCCAAAGTCAGCAGTTCTGCGTAGCTGCTTGGCTGGGTGAACGCATCACAGGGATGCTCTGCCTGAGCCAGTGACCTTTGGTCACACAGCGCGGAAGCCACAAGGGGGTTCCGATATTAGGGGTACCTTCTTGGGGTGTATAAGGGGATCCTACTATTTGGGGCTTTATTCCCCTACTTTCGTAAATCCCCAGAAACGAACAAGTCGCTTCACCGAATATTGATTGGCTTTTCATTGCTAGCCGACTCATGGATGGCGACGCCAAGAAACCCCTACAGACTCCTGAGCTCCGAGAACAGGAGACGTGCCATGCTCTGCTACAGAGTGCGCCGCACGCAGGCGTCCGCGGGGTGTAGCAGCTGTCAGGCGGCCCTCGTGGGGGCGTCTTGGGGAGCTTAGAGCTATTGTGTACCCGAAAACATCAAGGATCCGCATGTCGGTGTCAATAGCGACAGCTCCAGCAAGCGGAGTCGATGAAGAGCATCTCGCGTGTGACGCTGGAGCCGCAGTCACGCAATGCACTCTCCTCGCCTAGCACCATGCCTGCAAACCACCACGAGCATCCTTGCTTCTGCACGTGTTTTGGGAGCTGAAGCTTCGACTCCGATGCAGGTGTCGACCTTACGTTGCAGCAAGAGCAGCTGCTGTGTTCCTGCAGTTGAAAGTCTGCAGGTGGTGTCAGATGGCATTCAGGCGCAAAGCAAGGACGTGCGCCAGGCTGCCAAGCACATGCGCAGCTTCGCCACCGAGGACTGGAGCCAAGCGGCGCAATGGCAATGCGTCAGCAGGGTCCTTGAACTTTCCCTTGTCCACATGGTGTACTGGCAGAGCGTCAGCATGCCCGCTTCAGCATCGCAGCACTTGCTGCTGCAGAGTTTGGTATGCACGCATCCACGAAAACCGTCCCAAGCCCCCCGAGGCTGCCTTGTCTCTGCTGACATAAATTCCACCCACAGCAGTGGCAGGAGTCGCAAAAGCCCTTATGGGACCTTCTTAAGATGATCGACGCGTCGGATCACCGCTCGACGAGCATGATGCTTTGACCCAGAGGTTTACTGGCCTTCCCTTTGCCCCTCATACTTGTCACCTGAAGCCCTAGCTATGCCGCCGCCTCATGAACTTCAAACCTGGACCTCTCAATCCTGAGCCATGGTCCCTTAGATAGCGGCTCGATGACCGCCTGTGACGATGCTCGTCCACATGACGGGAAGGCCAGATCCAGCCTGAGTGCACAGGGTTTGGGGTTTAGGGTTTGGGGTTCAGGGTTCAGGGTTTGAGCTCCTGCAAGGTTTTGCCGAGACAGTGTCCGTGCGCGCGCGATGCTTGCCCCGACGGGAGGTCTTTGCACCATTTGCCTTAGACCTCATGCAGGTTGACTGTGCCATAGAGACTTCGGCTCGTGGCAGCCGGAGGGTCTCAGCGCCTCAGTCCTGAGCTTGACATCCGCGGTCGTGCTCGCCGTGGGCAGGGGTCCCTTATTGTCGTAAACCCCATATAAAGGTGCGACGTGACCAGCAAGGGAAGAGATCGGCCTTAGCAAGACAGCTCGGCAATGCCTTCCGGTTTCGCACGTTTTGCAAAATGAATGTGGCTTGCTGGCCGGCGCCGAATTCTTTTGCTTCAAGATGCCCCGCCCGCGGCCCGAGCGGAGTAGGGAGTCACCAATAGTTTCAAGTGGCCTTTTGGAGAGTTCTGTGGATGGCTACCAATAACGCCATGCCCAGAAGCAGCAGGTTTGAGACAGTGGCACACTCTTGGCCGCTTTATCGCTCTGGAATGCGTGGAAGATGCTGCCCTCGTAGCAAAACCCATCAAGCACCTTAAGCAGTCATGCTCAGAAGCCAACTAAAGCCGTGCCCACTCCCAGGCGAAGCGCCTGCAACCGAGAAACCGCGACGGATGAGCAGAAGGTTGCAAAGTTGTCACAAGCTCTCGTATCGTCTCGCCTGCCACAGGCACACCTTCGCCGTTCGCGTGCCCTGTCTCGATCTGTCTTGCACCCTAAACCCTAAACCCTAATGGGACTCGATAGGTCTCGCACCGGCTGCTTGTTGAGCTTTACTCGCAAAGGTCTGCGACAAGCGAGCTCCCTGCGCAATCTGCGCAGCTTCCAGAAGAGTTTCCAGAAGCCGCACTGGCTGTCGTTGCGCCCAAGAGCCCTCAAACCGAGCCACCCTCTCAGCTGGCAAGCACCATACAAGTGTGGAACGACGCTGAGGAACGAGTGCAGCTGCAAAACCACTAAGGCATGCCCGCCCTAGCCAGCTGAGACGTTGCAGAGGGCTCAGGCTCGGGCAGCGTTTTGCCAGATGGCGCACATGTCTCTCACCAGCAGCTTGTTGAACTCCACTTGGCTGCTCGTTCGGCGAGGCATTTGCCAACAGAACTCCCTGCACAAACTGCAGAGCATCCAGAAGCAAGCCATGACGTTTGTTGCCGTGCCTCGCAGCCCTTAAATCGAGCTGCCGTCTGAGTCTTCGGCAGGGACGCGTGACGGCTGCAACTCCAAAGGTTTTATTCGAGGTGCAGCAGCGTAGCGGCAGCGTGACGGTATGAGCACAGCATGGCCTGCAACCAGGAAACAACTGAGAAAGCAGACATGGAGGAGTTGAGTTCCGGCCCTTAAGGCTCAAACAGCACATGTTGGCATCAAGGCTGGCATTGCCTTGTGCTCGGCTAGCTTCACCTGGCTCCTTCTGCTATTCCCTGCTAGTCCCCAGGCTGCTCGTACCAACCACTGCCTACGGCCCTGCCTGGCGCCTTGCGCCAGGC